TGGAGAAGCTGTCTGGCTATAGAGGAAGAGAACAAATTCTTTACCTTATGACAACATTTAATAGTAATAGTTCTTAAATTGTTAAAAGCTGTGTCTCTGAGCCGGCCTTGAAATATCTTCTCCAAATTAATCAAATTCTGGAGAATTAATTCTTCCAAGCTGGGAAATGCATTGAAAGGAACCCCCTGCACTGATTTAATGATATGTTGAACCTCTGGAGCATTATGGACATTGAGAGACTTCAAATCTGGAAAACCTTCAGTGTTTAACTCATCAACCACATTCTTTACACCTGCCAACTCCCTTAGATGTAGCTCTTCAGTCACCTTCAACAACATTTTAACTGAGTGGCTAAAATTATTGGATGCATTTAAGTGCAACTTCAATATTCTTGAGCTTTCAGAGGAGCTATACTGGCCTTCCCACTTATGCCCAATGAATATTTTGAATTTTTTCAAATTTTCAGAGAACAAATCTTTTGGGATCATCTGAATATCAGGAATGCATACCTCTAAATTAGTCAATTTCTTTAAATTCTTCAACTCAGCAAGGCTCGCATTTCTTTGATTTTCATTTTCCTCAACCTCCCATCCGTGGAAGCTGTTTCCCAGGTACAGTTCCTCTAATATGGACATATTTGCCAAGACACATGGGGGAATTATTTTGAGTTTAGTACAGTTACTCAAATCTAATAACTTTAGCCGAGTCAACTGCCCAATTTCCCTTGGAAGCTCTTCAAAATCAGATTTCAAAAGGCTAAGAATTTCTAAATTCTTCAGCTCTCCAATAATACGTATGTCCCCCAACACGCTTTGATCCAAACATAATGTATGGAGATTCTGCAAGAGGCAAATTGATGAAGGCAGGGATGACATATGCATGTGAGTCAAATCCAATACCTTGACTCTTGGCATTCCCTTGAAAAAATTTGCTGGAATTTGCAGAGAAGGATTTTTATTAGCCAACCGAAAGAGAGTAAGACGGAGGCTTTCTAACTCTTCAGGTAACCCATCAACATTAGAATATCGCAGACAGATCCATTTGAAATCTTTCCTTGTCCCCATGTCTGACCACTCCTTTGGTAAATGATCCCCTGTTAGCAGCAACCCACGACGATCCCTACTTGTTATTGATACAGCCACATCATGGATAAGGTCATGCATGTCAAAACAGTTATTGTTAGAATCATCAATGAGCAAAGAAGAGGCTCTGAGCTTGCTTATCAAAGTAAGCACTTCATTTCGTGCTTCCTCTATGGTATTAGCAAATAAGCCTAAGCCCACACCATACTTCAACAAGTCTTGAATAAGAAACTTGTGACCCATTAGGCAACAAAGCAAAAATGTTTTCCTGAGCTTCTTGCTTTCCAGATGAAAGTAACTGACCTCAATAGCAGAATAAACATTTGCAGATACGCCATCAAAGTTTTCTGAAGTGGGCCTTTTTAGTATTCTCACAGCATCCATCCATTCGTAAGGCTTCTTATTTTTCAAAGCCTTTGCCATTGTTGTAATTGCAAGGGGCAAGCCCCCACATTCACGGGCAATCTCAATGGCTGCGCCATGTATATCATGACTCTCTGCTCGGTCACCGACTATCCTTTTGAGCAACTCCCATGCTTCTTCATCTTTTAATTGATGAAGTGGAAAGTTGTGTTGAGAACCCATCAGATCGGATAAAACATTAGAATCTCTGGAAGTAAGCAGAATGTTGCATTCTGCATATTCTTCTCTTGATGAGCTCCCCTCTATCGTTTTGGGCTCGTTTCTCAGAGGAATTCCAAGCTCCTCCAAATCTATTCCAGGTCTCCAAATATCATCCAGAATGATCAAAACCTTCTTCATTTCCTTCAGCCTTCCTTTAATACATTCAGCAGCATCCTGTGGTCTAGTTCCATAAGGAAGCAGATCTAGACCCAAGCCACGGGCAATTTCCACTTGAACATTTCTCAAGTCTGCATTCCTTGAAACAAGAGCCATAACTACCACATCGAACAGCTTGTCTTGCTCCGCTTTTCTTTTTATTTCTTTGGCCAGCATCGTCTTACCCATGCCAGGCATCCCGTGCACCCCTATAATGCTGCTGCTTTGACTCTGCAGTGCCTTCATGATCCTCTCCAGAACATCCTTTCTTGAGTAAAAGTCCTCAAAACCTTTGACAGGCGCGGCCACTTCTTTTGGTGGAGCACGAATGTGGGCAAGTGGGAGGTTGAATCCACGAGCTTGAATCACAAGTTTATCAATAGTCTTGGAATTCTCCTCTGCTTTTTTGCTGAGTTGGTAACGAGATTTGGTAGTGAGACACGGCCCAAAGAAACACTTCTTCTCGGCATTTCCTTCAGCATCAGCTACTAATATCTCTGCAGCATCAGCATCAGCTACTAATATCTCTGCAGCATCAGCATCAGCATCAGCTACTAATTTCTCTGCAGCATGAGCTACTAATTCTTCTGCAGCTTCAATGCAATTGTCGGCCCTGGTCAGCCAATTCCTGAGCTCTGGTACAATCTCTTCCCCTCTTCTCTCAACAGTTTCAGCAAACGTCTTCGCAGTCTCTCTCTTATCCTTCAGCTCAGCAACTTTCTTCTTCAAAGAGTCAACATTATTGTCGCACTTGAACACAAGAATAATTGGCTTTGAGATAAGAGTGAAAATTACACCAAACAAGTTCCCAACAAAATTTGCAGCAGCATTCTGACAAAACGCACAACAACAAGGCTCGGGCATCTTCTAATTTTTTCCTCTTTTTTTTCTTCTTTTTTTTCTTTTTTTTTTTTTTTTTTTTGAGTTTGGAAAAATATATAGGTGCCAAACAAGAATAAAGACCCAAGGAACAAAAGAAACAAATGAATCAGATGAGGATATGAAACAAAGGATGAGAATAGTGAAAATAAGCTGATTTTTAGTAAAGGGAGGCAAAATGAGGTGCAGAGAGTTGCGGAAGAAGGATTGATCCGCGCAAACAATGAAGGGAACGAGTTGGGATGAAATCAAATCAAATCAAATGAAAAGAACGGGTGAGAAACGAGAAACGTGGGAGGTTGAGGTGATCTGTGTAAAGGGTTGTGAAAATGCTGTGCAGAGAGTAGCAGCAGAAGATGATTGAAAAAAGGATTGAACAGAGAAAATGATGGAAACAAGCTGAGATGAAAGCAAATCAAATGAAACGGTGACGAAAGTAGGGCTGAAAAGAGGGATCGATTGAGCAAAAGCATAGCATGAGATCAATCATAGTGATACTGAATGATTTGTTTTAGGGAAATCCCTCGACTCCGCCCGCCTAAATAGGCGGGGGGGGAACGGATTTGTTAATTAAAAAAATATAAATATAAATT